AAGTAAAAATTAATTGAAGGTCCTAAATGTAAAAAGCCCTATGGATTCCATCTTATGGAAAAATTTACACCACTGCATATTGGAAGGGGGCGCCGGTAGGCGGTAATACGGGGGCGCACCGGGAAAGTCCCGGTATCCCGGTGGGCCTATCCGCCACTGTATTTAAACTTCTAAGGTATGTTTTGGGACTAACAACGATTATAAGCGCACTTAAAACATACTAAACAGCTGGTTCGTTTATTCATGTATTTTGATACTACTCGTAATAGAGATTTTTTACCCCAGCACCGTAATAATCACTACATCAGTTTTTTGTATAATTTATAATTATTACAATTAATCGGGTTTTGATACAGACTTTTTGAAGGTGTTAAATATAGGCAATTTTTTAATCGCGCGTATGAGTTAATTAGTAAGGTAACTTAACTGATTTACAAATGTGTAAACAAAAAAAAAAAACCGAGGGCTTCCCCGCACATGTCAATAACTTCTAAAATTAGGTGCTCAACCCTTAAATAATGGCAATCGATTGTGTTTAAGACACCTATCTGTCCGCCTTCCTAGTTCTTGTTGTGTCCGTTCAGCCTGCTTTCCTCCCGAACTCTGTTTCATAGAGACGCCCAGTCTCTAKGCAAAAATAAAACGCCACTAACCGTCGCCAGCCAACTGTGCGGAGGTACCACCGGTGCGTTTGAACAGATTTTTCAATATGGACGTAACCGAACCGACACGGTTTAGAGAGCTAGCCACGCTCTGGTTGTTGGGATGGTGGTGGTGRTCGTTGGAACTGTGCGACGACATGGGACGGCCCCGCAGCTGACTGTTAGATCTCTTGTAGCTGCCCGCTGTGGCAATGAAGTGTATGCCACTGTTCGCGTCGTCATCGTCCTGCAACAAAAACGGGCCATCAAAACGTGTGTTTGTTCTCGATACGCAAGAACGAGAAATGCAATCRAATCATAGACTTATTGATAATAAACGTTTCCCATACCTCCTCATCATCGGTTACCACAAGTGCTAAAAATGTTGTTATCTTTGTAGATGAACTCTCTCTCTCTCTCTCGTTATTAATAGATATACATTGTTCCTATAAGTTGTATGCTATCTTTTTTTTTAGCAATGTTGGCCCCTGGACCTCTCTCTATAATCAGTCCATTTCTTTTAGGCCTATCACATATAGTTACGATCTATCCGACTATACCGCGTATCTATCGCGTATCGATTGATTATTATGGTTTTTTATAACATTGTTTTCTATTATGCGCGGGTACGATTTTTTACAGTTCATTCATAATCTATTTTACTTGTATGTAGGTACCTAAAATATCCTTAGTATAAGACATGCGATATGACTGAAAGTTAAACGCTGGCAAGACTTGGCGTGCCGTGACAATATTGTGCAAGTCAGACAGTACAATTTTTTTATTTCAAAAAGATTGTAAACCACTTTTTTAAATTTTAAATTGTAATACAATAACGTCGCCAAAAATTTTGAATCCTTAAGAAAATAATTATTAATACAGACGACATTCAATAAAATAATTGGTAGTAAATAATCGGCAGATTTCTGGGGTTGGGGTACTTACTATTCAATACTTACTACATTGGATAAAATAATAAAATTGGTTAGTCTTACTGCAATTGGTTCATTTTTAGACTTAGGACCTATATACCGCACTTTTTAATTACCAGCGAATACCTAACACAACTCAATAATGCTATTAATAATAGGTATATACTAATATTGTAGTTATTAGGTAGCCATTTAATGCATATACGTACCTATTTCGGTTAGCACAATTAATTTATTGGCCTCCCCAGATCCCAATAAAAATATATTATTTATAAACTAAAATTTAAAATAAGTTCCACTACATTATTAGTAGATTTACCTATATCTACCTATCCAACCAACAAAATCTAATCATGTTTTGTACAAAGATATAAGGATAACATTTAGATAAAAATATAACGACTGTTTAAAGTTCCCAATTTTTCTAAAATCGTATTTAAAACCGCATGATTGAGTCAAAAACTTCAAAAAGTAACTAAACCTAAATACATTTTTTTTTTTTTATATATATACAAATTTATAATCCCAAAAATGTATAACTTGCATGAGATGTATGAGCACAATTTTAGCGTTTTAAAAAATTCGAAATCTACAACATATGCTATACTACATCAGCTATGAACCTATGTATGTTCTAAAATATATTTACTATGGCTTGTCCGTCGTCGCAGCCCTTTGGYGGCAGTGAGTATTCGGCGTCTGCATCTGACACAGCTATATTAGCTGTCGATGGCTCAGGGTGCCGTTCACGTTCTCCGGCAGCTACAGTGTATGGCAATTCCGTCGGGAACACTTGATCCCAATACTGATCTCTGATCAACTCCGGATGTTCGTGATGCATTTCGTCAACTATTAGATACGAGACCTGAGACAACAAACGATAACAATATGCAATTCGATAATCTATATTATACGTTTCTGATCAGTTACGATGTTTTTTTTAACGATTGTGCATTTACTTGGACATTACGATCAATGATCCAATTGACTTCAAAATCGTCATCGTCCTCTCCAAATGGATTTATCAACGATTCGGCCACTTTCAGCCATCCCATGTAAAAGAAAAACTGTAAAGTAGTAAATACCGGAAAATACAGATCGATATAGTTGTAGTTCGCCGAATTTGATTCCGTTTGGTGCTTAAGATTTGCCAATGGCATTACTGGTTTATCCAGCCATTGTCGCCCCATTACAGTTGTGATGAAAAATGAATACACGGCCAATGTTACAACCTAARAAATATAAAAAGTATTTATAAATAAACAAATATGTATAATTTATTTGTGATTAAATTTTAAGTAAAAATAACAATTATGTTAATTTATAGGAATATAAAATTTACCGGTAAACGATTTTTGGTAAATTTACTTAAAACACTATTATTATTTTTTCTTATTCGTATCATTAAGTAAATTCAATTTATATTATTATTATTTTTTCTTATTCGTATCATTAAGTAAATTCAATTTATATTATTAAATATTTTAGAATATTGGTGTATTATTTAGTAGGTATTTTATATGCAGTTGCACGAGTGTCTCCGTGCTAGCCCGGATGAATTATATTATAAGCTGCAGATCAGCTGAAGGCTGAAGGCGCCCACTGGTTTTCCACGAACCAGGGCAGTTATAACTATAGGGTCCCCAAATTTATTTGTTTGCATATTTGGCACTGCCAACTCTTTACGCTTTATTCAACGATCTAAATATTCAGATGGACCAGATGAATAGTTATGTATTTATTGTGTCTGATCAAGAGACCAGAGTGGGGYCCCCGAATGTATGTAGGCCCCGGGACCTACGAGAAACCAGTGCAATTGCACCACTTGGTACCCTACGTGGGCGCCACTGGCTACAGCTTAGGGCGCAGTATTATTATTATAATAAGGGTGCTATATATAGTCTTATCTTCAGTTAGACCAAAAAAATATTCATAATATAAAATCATATCAATAACTGATGAGAAATAATATAAAAACATAAATTGAGATAAATACTGGAAAATATTTGGAATGCCATACAGTATACACGAATAGACACCGCCTGTTATTTKTGATTTATATATGTTGAAAAAAATACAATAAAATATTAAATAATAAATACAATACTCAAATAGTTGCTGTAATAACTGTTATTATTTTATAAAATTAAATATACCTAATTGTAATTTTTTGAAATAGTGAATTGTAGTCATTTTAATATAAGTGGATCTACCAATATTTTACTTAAATAATAATCAAAAATTGATTTTTCATATAGTTGTTAATTTCATAATTTTTATTTTTGCTGATTTTATATAATATGTTCAGWCGTCTTATATAATATGATTTTGTTTGTTTTTTWAAATTCATATGAAAACAACAATTTATCAAGGCRAGCTTTAGTGAATGTTGTGTTAATAGTTTTTAATGAAACGATTTAAAACTAACAGTTGTACGTTCCGATGATATTAAGCCATCATGTGTGGTTTAAGGAACCTGTACAACAAATATTGTTTTAGCTATTTTGTAGAATTTAAAATTGCAATAATATACGATAATGGACACATACTAATTATGCAATCACAGCAATACATTTTTTTTAGTTTAATTTGATTTATAATAAAATATTTATCTTCATATAGTAGGTATTGAATAATATTATTCATTATTATTAATGATCAAATGATAATTTTTGTACTGTTTGTTAAATTTTTTTTTTTTTACTGTTATTAGGATAGTACGCATTGAGATAAGACAATGCGTTTTTATGAGTTAAAAAACAATATACATTAAAAAATAGACGGCATAACTAAGTAAATTCCCCATAAAACCTATAATAGTTTACATATTTATGTTAATATTTATTATTTAGACTTAAGAATATAATTATAAATTAAAAACGACTTGAGTGCAGTACAATAAACAGCTAATTACCAACGGACAGCGGAATATTGAATATGAAAACCAATTAAATACAATTTATATTATTATTATAGGATCACTGATGACTGCAGATGAGCTTATTGCTTATTATGATGTGATCAAATGTGGAATTCGAAGCTTTTTCTACTTATTAAGTACAAATCCAATCAAGGTACCTACAAGGCTACAATAAATAATATGTCCGAAGCAGAAAGGATATAATAATATGTCAATACGACTTTTTTTCTCGCGTTAGGGTTAAGTGTTAGTCTTTAAAAAGTACACAACAGTCATGTTATCAGGCTTTAATTATATAGATTTCTGCAAAAAAAAAAAAAAACAAGAAAGCAAAAACGACACATTTCACAGATTTTATTAAATATAATACACACGTTACCTGCGTATAAACTAGTGGCACGCTTATTGAATCGTAATTGAGTAACAAACCGCACTGACCGCGAAATGTGTTCAACTCGTCAATAATCGTTTTTACTGCGAAATCGTCGCGGATCCGTCCTTCTTTCCTCGCCCGAGTAACTATGCTCGTCGCCCACACGACTGGCAACCAGTGTTTAGAGTGTCTGGGAAACTTGTCGTTTAAATCCAATACGATAGTTTTTTCGTTTTCCAACAATAAACCTGTACAACAAACAACAATAACGCGTATATATAAATGGGAATATATAATTACAGTTACGGATTCAAGAGAGGTACATAGGGGCATGTGCCACCTGTTAATTTTTTACCAACAATTTTTTTTATCTAACTACGACTGTCATATAAATGAATAAATTAGTAAATAAGAATAATACTACCAACTATTAATTATTTAAATCATTATGTTTGTATTGAAACTGATAAAACAGCTTTTATTGCAGCTTTAGTATCTTATCGATACCTATTTATAATTATAACCATAAACTATTAATTAAAATTAAAATTATAGAATTTRTATGTGCCCTCCCTGCTAAAAATCGAAGATCCGTCCCTGTAAAGGTATAGGYACATATTATATTAATTATTTTATCTGTTAGGGAAATGATTGGCATATTATAGGGATCCAAGATTTATTTATTTTTAGATATGGGAGATTTTAAATCATACCTAAAATACTTATAATTTACATCGGTGTTAATTTGGGAGCAAGGGGACTTATGTTAGCAATTAACAAAACTTGTGTTCTAACACATTATTCAAATTCGAGACAATCCCGTTTCTAACATATACTCGTATGTATATATATATAATATATATATACCTGGACATCCCATATATATAATATAAACTATATGGGGGGTGACCAACTTGCGGCTTTCTTAAAAAAAAAAAAACCCAATATTTACTCATATTAACGATAAAACACGATAACATTATAAAATGTATTTATAACGATTTTGGCTTTTGATATCATTGTATTTATCCATGCGGCTCGTGTGGTTAGGTTAGGTTAGGTTCATTCATCGTGTTGGCCATCCCTGTACTATGTTTGTTATATATAGGTACACTATAATACATGATGGTAATAAGTCCAATAATACTTACCCGCTTCAACAAAATGATCCAGCGTAGGAAAGCGCTTCTTTACTCTAGGGCTGATGTTAGAGAATACCATTGTCAGACCCAAACAGACATACCGCATGATCGTTCGTCTCATCAATCTCCCTCTTTCGTCCTATACGGTTTTACAACGAATATTTGTTTAAATCCAGCGTACCGGTATATGGCGGTATATTTAGATAGTCACGTAACGTGATTTATACGTATGTGCATAGTGTTGTTGAAATAAATTGTTCGTACCTGTCCGTGAATATGCGAACTCACGTAAACTGCTATTGGATCAGGCCATGGAATCGAACAGTATTGGTCCCACCACCGTTGCATTATTATGGATATATAAAATCCCAGCACAAAAGACAACGGTATCAAGTCGCTGTATGTTTCACAATAATCCGATATGCTTTCAAATATTCTTGAATGAAACATAATTCACAAAATTTTAAAATTTTGATGCGAAACGCACATATTAAAAAATAAAMTATTAAAAATACTATTGCCAAAAATTGCACAACATTTTTATCACTTAATGGTTCACTTAAATTAAATGTACCAATAATGGACTCATAAATCATATTTATGGACCATTAGCTCACTATATCGATTCATTRAAATATTGTATGYCTACTAATGGTTGCTTATGAAACTCGATAGAATTAAATATATTATTTTAATTAATTAAAAAAACAAATATTTTTAACCAATCAATATAAACTGTAATAGAGTATGAAAAAGCTTAAAACTTGGACACGAAACTTCTTTATTTTTATCGAATTCTCGTTGTTATAGACCTTTTGTTTAAATGCATATTTATATATTGTAAGACACTGTAAGTAAATACATAAATTAGGTAGTAAAAATCCGAAGGATATCTATAATATTGTTTGGTATACTACTTATAGTTTATACTAAAAAACATAACCGTTAACAATTTTAATTTCAGTATCTTTCTATTCGTTTTAGGATTATAATTGCAATGTTTTTATTCAATATATAGATGTAATATTGAATTAGCCCTAAATAGTTTAAATTTAAATATCACTACGAGGAACACTTACCGTTTTTGTTGTGGATTCAATACAAAACGATAAGTCAAATTTAGTGTATAATAACAAACAAGGAATGCAGCCAAATCGGGCCACACTAACTTGTATATACTTCCTCGCCACCTAAAAATCAATAAAATCATTATTTTATGTTTGAAAAAAAAACAACAAAGACATAAAATATTAAAATAAAATTAATGCTCGGACTTCATCATTAACTTCTAGCTCTAGGTGCTGTACCGTATTGTTTGGTTATCATTAGTATATTTTTATTTATATTGTATTAATGTGGTCTCGTCTATACAAACTAAAATCTCACGTTTTGAACAAAATTTAATATTATGTTTTATTGAATTATCATGCTATACAGGTAGTGGAAGACGGGGTATTACCGTAAGCGGGGCAAAATCGTATTATCGGAATATTATCAATAATTTTTATCGTAGAAGTAAACTGAATACAACGATTTGAAACGTTTTGTTTGTTTATTTATTGAATATGACAGTACACGTGTTTGAATATCACGTTTTTAAAATAAATACGTTTTATATTTTTACATTCAATTACTAAAATATTATCAAAATTTCAAACAGTGAATTTTTATATGCGAAAAAATTGTTCAGGTATGCCATATTAATTATTCAATAGCTAATTAAGTGTAATTTACATTTTTAGTATAAATACATTCATTTATTAATTTAATGTTTGCAGTGCCGTCCCTAGGCAAGGGCGAGCGGGGT